TTTGTTGTTATTGTATTTGCCTCTTGTTTTGATTTAATATGGGTTTCCCATGTAGTGCCTTCTCAGGAAAAAGTTAGGAAATACATAACTATGAAAAAAATAGCCCCTATTTAAATATGTAAGTTTACTTGTCTTGGTATATTTCTCTTAGCCTTTGCTCAACTGTGGATCTATTTTTCCCCAAATTGCTGACTTCATGCTACATATGCAGCATTACATTTTGTTTTAAAAATTGACTGTCAGAGCCAGATATGATGGTGTATAGCTGTAATCCCAGCTACTCAGGAGACAGAGGTAGAGAGATTGTCATTTTAAACCAGAATGGGCAAAGAAAATGTGAAATCCTGTCTGAACAACAAACAACAAAAAAAGCAAAAGGGAAGCCCAGTATCATACAAACCAATATGTATTATAGGCATTTCTTTGTATTTTAAAAAGTATTTTCAATATAGTGTGCCTGTCTAGAGAAGCCTAGGATTGACTGTGTATAGGGTTTCTTTCTTCTCTCTCTCTCTCTCTCTACCTTTTGGTGGCATACTAGGGCTTACATTCAGGACCTCATGCTTCATTCTTAATCAACTTTTCCCCCTTCAGGCTGTTGCTCTCACATCTGAGCTTTCCCTCCAGCCCAGTGAGCAGGTTTCTAATCTCTGTGTGTGTATGCACCAGTACTGGTACTTGAACTCAGGGCCTAGGGGCTGTTACTTAGCTTTTTTCTCTTAAGGCTGGTGCTCTTCCCCTTGAGCTGCAGCTCCACTTCCTACTTCTCTTTTCTGTGGGGTGGGTGGGTGGGTGGGTTAATTGGACATAAGAGTCTCATGGACTGTACTGCCCAGGCTGGTTGTGAACTGTGATCCACATATCTCAGCCTCCTCAGTAGCTAGGATTACGGAGCCACTAGCTTCTAGTTTATTATGCAAATAAAGCTGCTATTGATGACTAAAATTCTACTGGGATTTTTGCTGGTGATCTCTTCCCTCCCTCCCTCCCTTGCTTCTTCCTGCCTGCCTCCCTCCCTCCTTTCCTCCTTCCTTCTTCCTTTTCCTTCCTTTCTTCCTTTTTTAAAAAAAATCAGACCATCACTCTGTGGCTTATGGCTGTCCTTGAACTCCAAGTCTCTTGCTTCAGCTTTAGAGCTGCTGGGATTATAGGCATATACTACCAGGTCTGGTTAATAGATATCTTCATACAATTGGGTCAAAAAATATGGACGGTTTTAGACAATGACTTTTAGACAACAACAAACTGCTTTCTTAAAACATACCCATCAACAACATCTTCTTGTGTATTTTATCAGCTTCTCTTCTTTCCTTCATTTCTTCTTTAATAGTAGCCATTTATTTGGGAACTATTTTAAATATCACAGAAAAAATCATTCACAATTGGATAGAATCCAGTGTTACCTTGTTTAATTTTTTTCACATTTTTGGCTTGAACTCAGGGCCTGGAATTTGCTCTGCCTGCCTGCTTGCTTGCCAGGGCTCTACCATATGTTCCCTTTGATCATTTAATAGTTTTCTTACTGACCCTTGGACATGATCCCTGGGCTGACTTGTTTGCCTCGGGTCTGTGACAACTCAGTCCAACACTGTCAAGGCTGATGTTTCCTAAGCCTAACACCCTGTATATCCCCGGGTCATGTCTTTAAGCCAGACCGAGACAAAAAACATGTACATCTGCTTTCTGGGACTCAGGCGCTGTCACTATCTGCCAGGCACTCTCTCTGAAAAATGGAGTGCCACACTAGATCCCTAATGCTTCCATATGGAGAATCTGATGCCCTTTTGAACTGCTTTAGTTTGCTTAGTATTCCATAATATACTTGGAATTATTGAAGACTACAGAGATCCTTTGGGAGTGTGGGCTATATTCTTTACTGCTGTGGTGTCAGCTTGAAATCCGCAGTGTGAGGAATATTTAGACCACTGGAACTGGCAAAACCTACAAATCAGAGTTATTCTACAGTCCCAGAATTAACACAGCATTGATTTTATCTAATGATTTTCTTTCCACAGTGGATATTAAAATGGAGAATGAACTTTTAAAAATATTTCAGTAAAAGTCACAAAGCAATTAAATTCTCATCTAGAATACCAATTTTTTCCACAAATATTATCTTTAAAAACCCTAACTTAACAGAATTGCAGAGTTTATATATTGCAGTCTCTTCAATGGCTGACTTCACAGAAGAGATTTTTTTTTTTATGTTTCTGGACTCAATCTGTTTCTCTGGAAAACTCAACTGAACACTTATTAAAATGTCAGATCAAAGAGACAAGCAATATCTTCATATGCTTTCCTTTTCTTTATTGCAGTACTGGGGGTCAAATTCAGGACTTTATTATCACTTGAGCAGTGCTTTGGTTTCAGATAGGGTCTTGAGCCTTTGCCTTTGCTAGATTGCTGTGGCTAGGATTACAGGCATATACCATTTTGCCTGGTTGTCTTGATGTTTTAAGATTCTTCAGCTCTCCTGAAGAATCTAAGGCTGAGAGTCACTTGCTTTGGAACATTTCTCCTCTTCTCTCAGATTGCAACTCAATTAGCTATACCTCCTTCATAAAGCATCCTTTGCTTTAGCTAGTGGTCAATTTCCCCATGCATATTTGGTTTAGTAATTTTAAAAGGCATGGCACACAGCCTGCTGATGAGGCCAGGAAATTATTTTTGGTGAACCTGCTTCCTCCCTTAGTTTGAACTGTGACTCCTGTATAAATAGGAACAAGTTGTGGAAGGCCCAGGCTCTAGACACTAGGTCATGAACACTGCTTAACATTTTCCTCTTGACTGTGGAACTCAGAGCTCCCTTACAGAGCTGTTTATTTCTTAAATTTGGAAATACAACCTAAAACTTTCCAAGTGTATCTTCAACAGCCAATTATTCCATTTCCTCAAAAAATGCTATTTTTGACTTGGTGGAAAAACAAACATTTGGTATTAATAAAATTCAAGCTTTTGCAAACTGAAATGTATCTTGAAAAATAATAATAGAAGAGTCTCAAGACTCTTTCTGGTTAGAGGCAGGATTGTATTCCTTGGTGGGTAGGGGCATGAGCTAAATTCACTCATATTCTATGGCCTCAGAAACCTAGAAATTTCATGTTAAAAATTCTGTGTTACTTTCATCCAGAGAAATACATAATCAACTTTTCAAACAGTTGTGGGTGTTCTTCTTAAACACATCATTAAAACTTAACAAGGGATACAAGGGATAATTTCCTAAAGGTTACTTACAGTGCAAGTTTATGTGAAAGTTTGAGTAAACCTTTCATACTCTTTTATGTTAAAGCTATGAATCTGTGTACTCCTTAAATGGATTGTTTTACCTATGTGTGATTTCATAACAGATACATCTGAAAAAAATTGGTTCATTATAAAATATAAAAGCAAATATATTGTGATATTTAATTAATTATATCAAAACACGAAGTATTGGGAAGCTTCCAACCCCACATTAGACAATAGAAGTTGTTTAAACCGATAATTTTCACTTGAAATCTCATATTCTGCACTGATAATGAATATCAGTTTATTTCCATGAAAAAAATTAAAGAATTCTGTGTTGACAGAATTCTTGGTCAGTTGAAATTATGTTTTTTCCACTGACAGATCCAGAAATACTTTGCTAAAAACTTTTTTTGGGGTCAGTCATGGGGCCTGAACTCTGGGCCTGGCGCTGTCCCTCAGCTCTTCAGCTCAAGGCAAGTGCTTCACCACTTGTGCCACAGTGCCACTCCTGGTCTTCTGGCAGTTAATTGGAGATAAGGGTCTCATGGACTTTCCTGCCCAGGCTGGCTTTGAACCTTGATCCTCAGATCTCTCAGCCTCCTGAGTAGTTAAGATTATAGGCATGGGCCACTGGCGCCCGGTTGAAAACCTTTTGATTTTCAACTCTTTTGAGAGGCTGAGAGCTACTTTGCCTTAAATTTTTCCTCCTCCCCTCTGCACAGGATTGTCACTCCTGGGCTGGGATGGGGGAGGAGAGTCACCATAGCCCTTCTAGGAAGAAACCCCAGGTTTTTTTAAATTTTTATTGTAAAAGTGATGTACAGAGGGGTTACAGTTAAGTCAGGTAATGAGTACATTTCTTTCTTTTCTGCTCTGACCATTTATTTCTCTTCCACTAGGAAGAACTATAGATTCTGTTCATGATGTTTAGAAGCCAGAAACCAATATATTTTCAACATTGTAACCTTGACTATTGCTTTAAAAAAAAGATAAATCAAAAAACAGCCAATGCCTTTGTCAGGCAGAAATCATCCTGGGGTTTTGCTTTATTTTTTTAATCTCCAGTTGTTTTCCAGGATCTATTCTCCATGGCGAAGCAAGCTGAACTTTATGAACTATGCCATTCAGCTTCCCTTGGCTTTGGGATTAAGATCAGAAGTTAACAATATATTCTGTTGTATGTAGAATTTTGGTGGTGGGTGGTCTGAGTATCATGGTTCAAATCCAGCCTTGGCAGAAAAGGCTGTGTGACTGATTTCCAACTAACTACCCCCCAACAGCTAAAAGTACAGCTGTGGCTCAAATGGCAGAGCGCCAACCTTGAGCAAAAAAGCTAAGAGACAGTGACCAGGTCTTGAGTTCAAGTTCTATTACCAGCTTACATACACAAAAGGGGTTGTGGAAAGACAATAGGAGAGGGTGAACAATGACCAAGGTATACTATATGCATGAATGGAAATGTCACAATGAAATCTTACTTTGTACAGGACACGAGTTATAGGAGAAACGATCAGGAGTCTAGGAAGTACCAGCAAAGCATAAGAGAGAAGGTTAGAGGGGTCAGTGTACTCCTCCCTCCACCCTTTGGGCCTGGGGCGATGATGGCTTCCAAGTCTGTCATTCTCTGGGGACCTCTTACCTTCTTTGTTGGCCCCTTGGCCCTGCCTGACCCTCTGCAAATTCCCTTCTCTTTACATGTTCTTCAAGAAAATCCTTAAACTGTGCTGTTCTACCAGAGCCCGAAAGATTCAATAATAACCCATTACAAATGATTCCAAGCATACTTTCATGTTTATTAAAAGAGGATGAACATAAAAACAGTGAAATAATATTTTATAAGTGATGACAGTTTTATTAAGTCAGAGGTATTTTAACATGTAGACGAGAAAAGAAAGGGCAATAAACTTCCACTGATTTAGATAAAATGAAACTATCAAACTAATAAAATCAGTGCTAGCTTCTACTTACAATTATATTACTTTTATGTAAATTATTCTATGCTATTTGGAAATACTTTGCTCTCTTAAATAGATATTTTACCTCACAAATTTTCTATTTCTTTTGGTTGTTTAAAATGCCACCATATTCTTTAATCAGAAGAAAGACATATCCCAACCTAATTTTCAAGTTACTTCATCAAATGCAAAGCATTTCCTATGCTTGATACTTCTTTGAGGTAAAAAAAAAATGCTTTTACAGTTATCTCATTAACTCTTAAGCAAAGTAAATAAAAAATACAGAATTTTCTTAGATTTAAATATCAATTCTTTTGTCTTCTATTATTTCTAAACAGAATGGCATACAAGATTCCTTTTTATTTTTTAACATACCTAAGTTTTAAAAGAAAACTTTATTTAAGGCATTTATTGATGAAAACTATAAATAAAAGATTCTAATGTAGACCAAAAGGACATACTTTTGAAAGTACACAGCCTATATGTTTTCATCTCAAATTATCACTACAGAAAGCAGAAACCCAAATACTCAAGGTTCTTTGGCTGACTGACCTTGCTCAAATGAAATACACTTAACCACATCTGGCTAAAAGATGTAAAGAATGGCATATTTATTACATGTCTGTCAGACTCCATCCCTATGTCATCTTTCCTTTGCTCTTACCAGGGCAGGTCTGTCTCTTCTCTGCAGGCCTGGTAACCAGCAGAGTGCCCAGGGCAGATGTGGAAGCCTCCATGTGAGAGCCAGTCTCACAGGACAGCTACAGGACATGTCCCTTTTCTCTGTTCTTGAGATGGGCAGGGATATCGTCCTTCCTTCCTAGGATGTCACATCTTGCTCTGCCAATTTCTTCTAGATACCGTCAGCTCACGCCCACCTCCTGGGGGACCCCAGGAGTGTGAATTGAGTGTGGTTATCTGGGAGGTTCAGTTGGGAGGGAGGTTCTGGTCCACATGCAGCTTTGCGATGTACCCTCCCCTCAAAAGTCCTCGTGGGACCTCACACACTTATAGTGTGTAAAACCTAAAAAAATCCTGCCCATACCAGCTGGGCTTTTCATGTGTTTTGTTATTTAAGAATTCAAACTTTGATATGTTCAACATGAGACATACCAGAACTTTTTCTACACCCAGACAATACTCAGTCTTCCTAGCCTTCCCTAACGTACGTACTGTTATCAAACAACTTAAAAATATACCTACTCATAGAATGTGTATAAAGTCCAAACTATGGAATCCTTCACTAACTACTGGACATCTGCAGCTATCCACAGCTAAATTCTATCAACTCAGATGCTGTATATGAAGTCGCAGAATCAAAACTTATTTCCATAATTTCTGGGGAAAGAAAGAGGGTTTCCAAGTGCCTATCCCATACTGCACTTTAAATAATTTTGTGTGCGTGTGTGCATGCATACATGTATATAAGTCACCTAGATATATAAAAAAGTGACATTGTTATTATAGCACTGGGATCCTCCCTTAGAATAACATTGTCTTCTGCGCCTACTGCCTCTTCTGGTAATTAACTCTTCTGTGTGTTTATGGCTTTTTTAAGAAGCAAGCATGCATATAAGACCCCCTTGCTTCAGGTGGTGAAGTAATCTTTTCTGCTTAACCTCTCAGTCGTCCCTTGACCTAGGTTAACAGCTTTTTGTATATGCTGTTATTCAGGTGACTAGAGCACGTATCCATTTTGCTTGGCATCAGCTGACCACTGCTGTTGTAACTGTTGGGGTCCGAACTCTCTTTGCAGCATAAGATGTTGTAGAGGTGCCTCTGGCACTCTGAGGAAGCATAATAGTAAATCAAGGGATCAATGCAACAGCTCACACTGCTGACACAGACGCAGAGGAGGTACGCGAAGTAGGCCGCCTCTGTGGCAGGGCTGGGAGACAGGAACAAGTAATGCAGGATCAGGAGGATGTTGGTGGGTCCAAAGCAGAGGATAAAGATGCAGAAAACAGCAGCTGACAAGAACAAAGCCCGGGATTTCTTGCTCCGGTTAGCAACTGCCGAAGAGCTAAGACATCGGATGATACATGCATAGCAGACTGTGGAAATGATCAATGGTACAAAAAAGAAGATAGCGGAGAAGGCCGAGAAGTAATAGGCGTAAAAGCCTTCGAGCAGGGTTTCGTTGAGGACATCGTGACAGGTGGTGATGTTGAGCCCGGGGACCTGGGTCGTTTGTTCCTTGAGGAGGAGAGGTACCACTCCTGCGATGGCCATGGCCCAGATGGCCAGACATACAAAGGAAGCTCTGCTCAGCGTGCGCCAAGACAGGGACTGGATGGGGTACACCACAGCCAGGAAGCGGTCGATGCTTATGACGGTCATGAGCATGATGGATGCATACATATTGCAATAAAATGCTGCCGTGGTGAAACTGCACAGTTCAGATCCAAATTTCCAGTCACTGCCGGCAAAGTAATAGCTGATTTTAAAGGGGAGTATGGACACAAAGAGCACATCGGCTGTGGCCAGGTGCAGCATGTACACGACAGCTGGCTTCTTCACCTTCATCTTCAAAAGGAACACAGCAATGGCCAGGATGTTTAGAGGAAGGCTGACCACAAACACACAGGTGTAAACAGAGGGGATAAAGACTGTCAACCAGGGGCTGGTCAGATATCCCGAAGCATCTTTTGAAATAAATGCAGGAGGTGATTTTCGAACAGGATTACTTTTATTGAAGGGCGTGAATCTGTGGCTGGTTAACACAGTTTTGTTTCTCTCCTCATGCTCCTCTATTGGGAAAGATTCAAATCCATGGTCGTTGGCATTCCTGAGGAAAAATGACCGGGGATTCACAGTAACATTTGTTGTTTTTGACTCTGAAAAACAAAAATTTTAAATGTGAATGGATTGAAGAAGTAAAAGAAACAGAGAAAGAACATTTTCCTCCCCTCCCCCCCTGCCCCCCCCAGCTTTTTTTTAGGAGCAGAGTTCTTCTTAGGAGAGAAGGTGGCAAAGATCAGGTCTTATCAGATAAGCTTATTTCCTGATGAAATCTGTAACCTAACCCCAAATACTGTACAACATACCAACCAACCAACCAATCAACCAAAGATTGGTTTTCCCCTGAAACACTACATAATAAAATCAACATTGAAATGTTATTTGAGTAGGGTCGTGCGCATATAGAGTGTAAGATTTCAGAAAATGTCACCATAACAAAAAAGGCAAAAAGTTCACATCCATAATTTCCTTGAAAAAAGAAAAATAAAACTGTGCAACATTCTGTTTGATTAAATACTTTTAAAAATTTGCTTTTTTTTTTTAAAGTGCTCATACTGTGGCTTGAACTGAGGGTGTTAAGCTCCCAGTTGGTTCTTTCTCTCAAGGTTGGGGTACTACCATTGAGCCACACCTCCACTTCTGGCATTTTACTGGTTAATGGGGATGTAAGAGTCTGGTTTGTCTGCCTGGTTGGCTTTGAATCTTCATCCTGAGATCTCAACCTCCTGAGTAAGCTAGGTTTTCAGGTATGAGCCAGTGGCACCAGGCTTAAAAAATTCCGTTCTTTACCAGGTGCTGGTGGCTCCTACTTGTAATCCTAGCTACTCAAGAGACTGAGATTTGCGGACCATGGTTTGAAAGCTGCCCAACCAGGAAACTCTATGAGACCCTTATTTCCAACTAACTAGCAAAAAAGGCAGAAGTGGAGCTATGGCTTAAGACAGAATGGTGTCAACCTTCAGCAAAAAGCTAAGGGAATTCTGTCCAGGCCTTGAATTCAAGTCCAGTACTGTTTTCAGTGACGTACCTTTAGAGATAGCTGACGTCAGTATCTGTGGCCTTGCAAAATACATAATCAGGCCTCCACTTATTCCCTGGCACAAAGTTCTGAAGATTCTTTTTTTTGTTGTTGTTATTGTTGATTGTGGAGTCTGAACGCTGTCCCTGAGCTTTGTTTTGCTCAAGGCTAGCACTCTACCACTTTGCGCCCTGAGCCACAATGCTACTTCCAGCTTTTTGGTAGTTAATTAGAGATAAAGAGTCTCATGGATTTTCCTGCTTGGGCTGGCTCTGAACCATGATCCTCAGATTTCAGCCTTCTCAATAGCTAGGATTACAAGCGTGACTACAGATGCCTGGCTGGCAACAATGTTTTGGATGTGATTGTAAAAGCACAGGCAATAACAGCAGAAATAGAAAATAAAATATGTCAATTTCCAAAATGCAAAGCAAAACAGAAGTCTGGCAGTGTGAGGCCCAACTACGGCAGTGAGGTCAGGGGTGAGCGCACTCAGGGGGAAGGGCCGGCCTAGGAAGACATCTGTCACAAGTAGAGGCCAAATGACTCAACACTGAATTGCTGAGTACAGACCCACAACCTTCGCTAATGGACTCTCTAACACTGTTGTAAGGTACATCATTCCAGAGCCACATTTTAAAACATAGAATATTGGAGTCTTTAATATACAGTTAACAGGCTGTATTACAAAGGCCTGCAGCATGCAAACACACAAAACATAGCTAGGAAACATGCTAAAGAGAACAAAGTAACAAAAACAATACCAACAAGCCAATTCAGCTCCAATAGAGAGCTGAATTGGGACGCCATAATGACAGGAGACAAGCCAGGAGACAGGCCACAGGACACGAGCACAGACACAACATGGCGTGGAGTCCTGTGGCTAGGCTCCTCTGGGCCTAAATAGGTTGGTGCACGGGGTAGATCCTCAGCAAATTCCCAGTCCCAGACACTGGACTGACAGATTCAGTAACCTATCAGCCAAGTGCCTGCCCCTGCCGCCAGGGGTCTGGGCACGCCCATTACCTGGAAGGCAGGTGATAGTGGGGGGAGGGAGGAGAGATGGGGGGGTCCTTCCCCCAGCATGAAGACAAGATGTCAGACCTATAATCCACTATGTGGCCAATATGGCTCCAGCCAGACCTGACCTCCTTACTTCAATACTAGTGACATACTATATTCGAATGGGATTGTCTCTGTGATGACCACCCCTTCCCCAAAAGAATATAAAATGTGAAATTAGAAACATAGGTCCAGACCCTGGGAATAGAAAAAGACTGCGACAATTACTGGAACTTGACCATTTGTATTAAGAATAGGGCCAAAACAGGACTCAAGAAACAAAGGACAGCCACCTATTTTGTCTTATCATTGCTAAATGACTCCATGTTCTAGACCATATATATGGTAGATATATGCACACAACAGAGGGAAGCTAGGAGGAGGAACAGAATAAGTGGGAACAGCCCACACTAAGCAAAAGGAAAGAAATGTAAACATCACCTGATGAGGAAAAAATAACTTGTAATGTCAAAGCTCATCGAGTTCACAAACTGTATAGACCATGATAATGACAATTTGCCTTGTGAAAGATAAAATATGTTTGTGACTCTAAGTATCATTATTTCACAATACTGTGAAATATGTGAAAGTTATGTAATCACCAAATCTCAATTAAAAAAAGCGAGAGAAGGCATGGGTTAGGAGAGATGGGTGACAATGTTGCCAGACACTTTGTACTCAAATACTGTTGTGTAGAATGGGAACTTCTTTGTACAACTACTTAAAGATAATAAAAAAATTAAAAAAAGAAATTGCCATTAGCTAAACCCCAAACAATGGTTAGATGACATGATATTTTAATAAAAACTAATATCATAACTAAAAAAAAAAAGAATAGGGCCAAACGTTAAATTTCCAAGGTAAAGGCTTGAGTAGAGTTAAGCACCGGGGAGGCTGTGCTGGGCATCTGCATTTCTAGGGATGGCTGGTCTCCTCTCTAGGCCATTGGGGAGCTAATCAATGCTTTTCTAGGGCTACGGTATCTGCATTTCTGTGGAGCAGAGCCCTCCTAGCTCACCCCATTGAGCCAGGCATCTGCTCTTCAAAGGACGGCCTGCCTCACCTACAGGCCTCGGAGCTGGTTAGACGGCTCCCATCTCCCGCCTAGGCACCAGGTGGTTTGCAAGAAAATATTTAGGCTCAGATACCTTACTTCATTACTTGGCTTTGATGACTTATTGCCTTGGTTAGGACCACCTGTGAGTCTCTTCCCCTCCCCCTTCTCCCCCGCCCCGCCCTGGATCTTGCCTTTAAATACTTTAAATACTATTTGACTTTACTGCTGTTCTTCACTAGCCTGATATAGTGAGGAGCTGTCGCCCTGGCTAATGAAGATTCCTAGCCAGATTGACTGAGTATTGGTGTCATGAGTTTGAGTCCCATAGGCAGGCCCTTGGGAAGTTAGGGATACTTCAGCTCTGTCAGAACTCAACCTTTCTAAACTCAGCTCAGAGCTAGGTACCTGTGGCTCATGCCCATAATCCTAGCTACTCGAGAGGCTGATATCTGAAAAATGTCATTGGAAAGCTAGTCCAGGCAGGAAAGTCCATGAGACTCATTTCCAATTAACCACCAAAAAGCTGAAAGTGAAGGTGTGGCTCAAGTGGTAGAGTGCTAGTCTTGAGCAAAAAAGCTCAGGAACAGTGCTAAGGTCCTGAATTCAAGTCACAGGACTGGTACCAAAACCAAACAAACAAAAAAACAAAGCAAAAACTGTTTGGTCTATAAAACAGGCAGCACAGTGATCCACATAAAACATGACATACTCTCACTTTGGAAACTATAAAAATAAAACGACGTGAGAATTCATTGTTTTCTCCCCCTCCCCCACTGCCCTGCAGCCTGGCCTGCGTGTCAGACCTCACTGTTTGCTCAAGGGGGTGTTTTAAGTTAAAATGGAATGTGGGTTCCTCTTCCCTCCTCATATATGCACGTATGTATATATAGTCTTACCAGGTAGTATTTAGTATTTATAAAACAGGTGGTATTTAGTATTTAGTTTGAGATCTGTAATTCAAGTCTCAAACTTAGTGTTTTCTGGAAGTTTCCTTTTATTCTTTGAGATGTACCTAACACAGTCTTTATTCATCTTGACTCAGTCCCGTTAGCCTGACAATTGACATCTCTAGGGAATGTGAATTACCCTCAAGGTCATGAAGAATGTGTGGGAACTAGAGGAAGGGACGGAATGGGTTCTGGCACTCCAATACCACAAAGACAAATATCTGTGAAAGTGCTGAGCAAGGACTCTTTTTTACTTTTATTTTTCTGTGCTGGTACTGGGGCTTGAAACCAGGGTAGGGCACTCTGTTCCTTCGCTTTTTCTCTCAAGGTTGGTGTTCTATCACTTGAGCCACACCTCTACTTCTGGCTTTTTGGTGGTAATTAGGGATGAGAGTCTCAGACTTTCCTGTCTGCTTTGGCTTTGAACCTTGATCCTCAGATCTTAGCCTCTTGAGTAGCGATCTAGTTTTAATAGGCTTGAGCCATACTGCCCTGCAGGAGTCTGGAACTAAAGTGATTCCCCAACTACAGCTTCAGGAGCCCGGCCACAGGGAAGACTTTTGTGAACACACATGTGCACGCACACAAATCACATCCATACACCACTACCCACAAGAGTGATACAATCTGAAACCTACTGATGCCTCACAACTAAGTTGTCTCGGTCCTAAGGCTGAAATTACTGCTCAGTCTAGGAATGAAATTGTCATGAAGCTTTACACCGAGAACTTTGGCAATAAGTCTTTGTTTTCCAAAATGTCTTTCCTGGTTAGTGTTTATGACAGCAACATTATACCCTGGAAACAGGCAGTATTTATAACCCAGAACCCAAGAAGAATGCATAATCCTTTGATTAAATATCACTGACTAAGACATTACCTTCTCTTGACATTAAAAGTTGGTACTCTGGTTTTTGTGAAGTTAAAGAATGTCAGTAAAAAGGAAAAAAATATAAAAAAATACACCTCAGCCTCAAATCACCAAGATACATCCGATCCAAGCCTGGTGACT